CAGTCAGTAATTCACATGGTGACCATGCCCCAGCACAGATGGCTGCTTCAGGCATCAGCTGTAAGGCTGTCACTAATATAAACTTGATATTAGTGCAGTGTGTCAGAGCGTGCTAGCTCCATGGATGACGCCCCAGACCCAAACTCCGGTGCTCAGGGGACATCAGCCTCAGCCGTGGCTGAAAAGGGAGGGGGCCTTGACCACCGAGAGGGACATGAGGCTAACCAGAGGCCACAGATCCAGGGGCAGGAGTCCAGGGGGCGAGCCTGTGAACATGGTGGACACGGCATCATTCGATTTCCCCCCAACCCTCCAACCTACCTGGGTCACTGAGGAAGGAAGCAGCGTTCCCCCGACACCAGCCTGCAGGAAAACGGGGCGGGCTCACAAACGTGTCATCCGCAGAACTCACGTCTTCTGACTCCTGCATTTGCTAAGTAGCCATACAGGGCCGGTTGTGAAAGCTGACCTTCTGGTTCTGGCCCATTCCCCATAAATCTCTCAGCCTCGCGGGAACGGCTGGAGCCTCGGTACACATGCATGTGACATGTAATGTCGAGAGAGGCTGAGCACTACCTGGGGAGGACAGAGTGGGGGAACCCTGCAGGCAGTCCCCAGCTACTCTTCATGGCTCAAGAGACTCAGTACCCACCCCAGACTCTCATCCCCCTCCACTCTCAGCCAAACCAAACCCCACAAGGAACCCCCTCAACTCTCCCCAGCAAGGTCTCCATAACCACCGCGCCTCCTCACTTGCTCATTAAAGTGTTTCGGCCAACATGCCTCTTTGCAGGAGAGAAGCCCTGAAAATCCTCTTTTCTCCACATCCTTTTGTTTCTGTTAATAGCAATGCTTAATGCTCCTTCCTCCAGCTCTGGCCCTGGCAGGGGTAAAGGGCGGGGGGGAGGGGAGGAGAGGTCCTCTGAACTTCATTCAGAAGAAGGGGGGATGAAATCATTCTTTTCCCAGGGTTAGTGGGGGTCAGAAAGTCTAAACTCTTAAATTTGGCTGGCCCTGAGGAGTATGTGTGTGTTAAAGAATGATTAAAAAAAGAGAAAGGGAAATACGTTTGCATATGCATACAAGAAGTACACACACACACACACACACACACACACACACACACACACACGCACGCAAAGTACACGCAAAATCTCTGGTAGAATACCCCAAAACTGGCAACAGTGGTCATTTCCAGGGAGGGGATCTGGTGGGTGGGACGGAGAGTTAATTTTCCTGTTTATTTGTACCTTTTGGATTATTTTATTAGGTGGATAAATAATGTTCTACTCAAAATGGTCAATTAATCTAAACCTATCTTGTTTTCTCATCAAAATGGAGTTAAAACCTGATTCACAGGCTATCGTAAGATCTAGACCAGATAATGTGAGCGAGAGCCTAGCGATGTGCTTGGTGCAGGGCACCTGCCCTTCCACCGCCCCTCGAGTTATCTAGACAACCTGGGAGTTGCCTTCAAGTCCACACTGACACACAAGGCATTTTTCCCATTTCCCTCTTGGCATTAGAGGGTAGCAATCATGAGACTTTGCAAAAGAGAAATACTTGGTCCTCTACAAAAGAGTGATTTCTAACAGGTCATTCTCATACCTACAGAATTCTACCACTAGAACCAATCTCACCAACCCCTGCTACCCTCGGAATTACATCACCACCCTCCCTTGGGGCCACATATTTGACAGCCTGTGCACGGAGGATCTGAGGCCTGAAAGTTATGACCCCAATGACATCATCACGCTTGAAGGAACTGGGGACCCATCGCTGTGTAGGGAAAAGGTGGCTTCCCTTTTTACCTTCAAATCTTGCCCTAACCGAGAAGTCTGCTGCTTTGATGGGATTTATCAGCCGAAAGATAAAGGGCCATTTGTGGTAAGAGCAAAAACCAGTGACAGAGTCCCCTTTTCCCCATTGGATGTTTATTCCTCGCCTTTCTGTTTCTCTTCTGCTGACCAGTTTCTCACTCTCTGATTCCCTACCCTGAAGCCTCCGTGTTATGTCCCATTCTGAGAATGGGTTTCCTTGTATACTGCTCCCTTACAGGCTTTCGCAGGATTCTACTACACAGCCACTGCTTTAAACCTTTCCGGGAGCTTTCCCCTGAACACCTTCAGCGCCAACACCTGGAATTTCTGCTCGCAGAGTTGGAGTCAGGTCAGTGTTTAGAGAGAAAGGATCAATATCAGTACAAAACAGAGTGTGTTCCGTTTGTGTGTATGTGTGTACGTTCTGAATTTGGCCTTTATGCTATTCTGCTTTCACCCCCATAACAATGGGGG